AGATAACCAAAGCGAGTGAATATTATTACCAAAAATTAAAGCAAAAATGGTCTATATAATTGCTGCATTTCATTAATTGCTAACTCGCTGGTCTTCTTCTGCAATAACTGTCAACAATTCTCAGCAGTAAAAAGTTACGAATTGGTACAGTAGAAATTAAAAATTTACTCACCATAGTAAAAATTTATTTCACCACAGAACTTTTCTACCAATTGGCACATACGAAATTATTTTTCCCAGATTTGAATATGTCAAATACATAAACCGATCTCAAATCAAATCATTCTGTGCGAAGTTATTACGTTGATTATGCGCTCATTTGGGGGCTTTTTTTATAGATTTGACAAAAGAGGGAAATTTTCAAAAGACGACATCACTGAGAAACAGCTGTTGAATAGAAGCGTGGAAAAACGAAATAATAGCGGCAGGTGAATAAGTGTGAGAAAGATATTTAGTTTTTATAAATAAAAGGTGAATAAAATGTTGTGTGATGTGTGCAAAAAAGAATGCACGAGCATTGACATATTTATTAAACATTGGAAAATATTTCATATATTTTCCGACGACAGATTGCGTTGTCAATTTTGTCAGCAATTGTTTGCTGGTGTAAATATTTATAAAAGGCATTTGCAGCGAAAACATTCTAATTTTTTTTGTGAATTGCAGTATCCTGATGAAATTCCAGGCTCATTTTCAAAAAAAATAAAGCTAGTGAAGAAGGGAGTCTTGTGGAGTTAAATTTTGGTGCCTCGGCAAGTGCAGTCCCTGCGAATGTAAACGCTGCCGACGTATTCATGCATTGCGATGTTGATGCAGACCGTGCCCGCACATGCACTCCCGGCGATGGAGGAGGCATTGCGGTTTTAAGTGATACTACCAGCGCTAGAAAAGAATTTAGAATTGACGAAGAGTTAAAAAAATTACAAGATAATTCTCTTAAGTTTATGACTTTTCTACACGGACACAATAATTTTTCAAGAAAAGATGCCATGGAAATTGCAAGTGAGGTCGAGAATTTGATAATGAACCCAGTTTTAACATTGGTGAAAAATTTTATTAAGCATAGACTAGCGGACCATTTCGATCTAAAATTGGAATTTTTAAGCCTCATTAACTCGCTATCACAGCTTTGTGAATCAGTTAAATCAGAATATGGTTTGATTAAAACATTAGTGTCGCATGGTATTGCAAATAACCTGACAGAAGTTGTAATTAATAGGGAGCAAGATTTTATTTTGAAAAAAGGGCATCTAGTTGCGGGTCAAAAAATATCAAAAATGGCAATAATTCCACTTTGTCATGCGTTCAAATGTATTTTAGAAAAAGACGACGTGCTATTGAAAATGATCAATAACATGGAAGAGCTTAAAAAGTCTGATAAATTTACAAATATTATTCAAGGGGACTTGTGGCAAAAGAAATGTGAGTTATATCCTGGTAAATTATTGATACCATATTTTTTGTATGCAGACGACATAGAAATTAACAATGCACTAGCGTCAAACTCTGGAAAGCATTCTGTTTGTCAATTTTACTATTCATTTCCATGCTTGCCCTTAAATGATACAAAGCAAAAACATGTATTTTTGGCTGCCGTTGTTAAATCAAAGGATTTGAAAGAGTTTGGAAATGACAAATGCTTGGAAAGCTTAATTGATCAACTAGTTTTTCTCGAAAAAGAAGGAATTCAGGTAAATCAAACAAATGGTCAAACCTACAATGTACAATTCATACTAGCGTTAATCCTTGGAGATAATTTGGGCCTTAATTCTCTCTTAGGTTTTAGTAAATCTTTCAATGGAACTTTTTGTAGATTTTGTACGGCAGATAGGAAATTAACTAAGGGTCTATGTGCGGCACGGTCTGATCTACTAAGGAATCATTCAAACTACGCCATAAGTGCAAGCAACAAAGATAATGGAGTTACCGAATTACGTGTTTTTAATAGAATTCCTTCCTTTCATGAAGTTGACAACTTCGCAGTTGATGTTATACATGATATGATGGAAGGCATCTGCCACTATGACTTGTGTTGTGCAATAATATATTTTACAGAAAAAATTAAATTCTTCAGTTTATCTGCATTAAACAGAAGAATAAAAACTTTTGAATATGGAGAGCAAGATTGTAAAAATATAACGGGTGATTTTTTTGAGGTTAGGATTTTCATGCATTAGTATTTGACAGATCACGTGGGATTTCAGACATGGTGTCAAAGAGAAAGATGCTCAGTATGCTTTGACATTTC